GTCTAGGTCCTTCTAGACTAGGAAGAAAGTAGTCTAGTCCTTCCCCTACTTTCTTTACAGTTATAACTAATAAAGTATATTCTAATAATCTCTGTAGTAACCTTAAGGATTTCCTTTATCCTTAGGTTGTTCTTAATTCTATTAGCTATTAGTTAGGCAAGTTATTTTCTAGAGGCCTTCTTAAATACTTTCTAGGTCTTTAGTGTCTCCTTAAGGTCATGCTTCTAAAGGAACTAGATAGTTTTATCTAGCAGCCTCTTCTAGGCTAGATCTTAACACCTTAATGCCTTAAGTGCAAAGACAAGCACAGTTATAATACTATTAGCTATAGCTAAGCCTGTAATTGCTGTAAAGGAGGGTTGTAGAGCTAGGTCATTAACAAGGGAATTAAAGGGATTAATAATACCTATATAGGTTAAGGTGTTCTCACTACTAGCAGAGTAAATTTTATTAATAATCACCTATACTGCATACAGAAGGTTATAGACTATTATTACAGTTCTCTTAGTACCTTTACAGTCTTTCTAGATAGCTGTTTATGTAGCTTAATTACGCTGCTTACTATCTACGCTACCTTTAAGGGCTTTGTAGATAGTTATTTAATACTTCTTATTAAGATCCCTTAGTATCTTGTAGTGTAAAGGGTTTGTTTTCTTAATCTTAGTATTAATCTTAATAACAGCTTTAAAGTTCTCTTAGATAATATTATAAAGTTAGCTCTGCTAACACTTGTTTGTAGAGACAATAAAAAATCTGCTGCTAGTTAGGCTTAGTTAGCTTGTAGTAGCACGTGCGTAATCATACTATATACTATAGCTTAAGTATTTAACCTTAGCCCCTTCTGCTCTATTACTAAGATCTAATAGGAAGCTGTATAAAGGGCGTGCCTTGTTGTCCTAGTTAGGGTAAGGCAGCATCTTAATAAGGTTGTTAATAGTAATACTAAAGTATAGGCTGTTAGCTTCTCTACTGTAAGTCTTGCAGTATGTCTTGCTAGACTTGTGCAGTATGATCATCTTTGGGCGCCACTCTAGGGGCGCCTGATTAAGTAGAGGGCTGTCTTGTAACACCTTAACCTAGTCTTGCGGCCACAGCTCTACGCTGTTTAAGTAGGCTAACAGGAATGTAGCCCTAACTTACAGTGACTAACCTTTGAACAAGCTATTAGGACTAAGGCACAAACGCTAATTCGATAGCAGTGTGCAGCCCTTGTAAGCTTTAAACATAAGGATATAGTTTAAGAAGTACATAACAATAATTTGTATAGTTTTACCTATACCTATGTAATCCTGCTTAACACAGCCGCGCAGAGGGCTGAAAACTATAGAGTGAATGACGTCAGAGCCAACTACTTGATAAGCTATAAGCCTGAACTTGGGGTTAAAGCCCAAGGCAGGGTTAACTGCAATAAACTGGTGCTTAGACGTATGCTGTTCGCGCAGTTGTTCTATAGTGACGCTAAGTGTGTTTAGGCTGGCGGAATGGGTATACTCCAACGTCCTTCGTGGGTACCCCCCAAAACTTTGTCAATAATTCATGGATTCTAGCGAAATAGGGCTTAAAAGAAAGAGAAAAACTACCTCTACATTTCTGTAGTAGAAGGTTTTGTTATAACCATTAAACTGCACAAGCTAGAGGCTAGAAAAGGTCAAAAAAGGGGGGGTACCTAGCGAGCATACCCATTAATAGGTATACTTTGCTAGGTAGTGTTGATAACTTAGCTAATACTAGGCGGAATTAGCTAATTCTTTTTTTATTAGAAGGCGCAATACTAGGCGCTTCTATCGAATAATAGATTATGTAAGCGTATCTCTGCTAGTTAAGAAGCTATAAGCCAAAACGTAAAAAAGCATACCCTACCCATCCGCCAGCCTAAGTGTGTTTAATGCGCTGCGCCACTCCTCTAGAGTTACTTGCATGGCCTTAAAGCCTGCGTCTAGTTTGTTAAGTTTACATTGCATGCTGTTAAAGTTAGAAGTGTACTTTACTAATAGTAGAATACACTTACTACTTAAGCAACTTAGACTTATAGTTATTATTACCTTCCCCTTCCTCTACACTGTAGATTAGCTTAATTAACTTGTCTATGTTAGGGAGGATGCTATACACTTCTAGTTAGTTAAGCTCTAGTGTTGCTAATCTTGATTCTAACTATCTCTTAGGTGTACTCTTTATTTTTTTTCTTTCCTTCTCTTATTGTTTGCGCTTTTAATAGATATAGAGTTGCTTCTACTTAAGTTGCCTCTGGACTTGTTAGCGCAATAATTGTCTCTGCTAGTCTTGCCTTCACTAGTCTTGTTAGTGCTAGCCACATTAGCCACGTTAACATTAATGCTGTGAATTAGGGCATTTGTTAGAGCAAGGCCTTCAACAGCAGCCACGTTAACTGTGTTAATATTAGTGCTGCTAGATAAGGTATTTATTAAGGCAAGGACTCCTGTGGTAGACAGGGCTTAAGGTTGCGTAGATTCTATAATTTAATTGTTAGTATATACTGTTAACGTAGATTATCACTGAGCCGGCCATATCACCGAACCGGCCACTTTCTCTTAGCACGACCACCTTTTACCCTAACACAACATGCCTTAACAATAACAACTTTAGAATACTACTAGAGAAGGCAGAGTTATCCTTGCTATCTAGGCCTTCTATGCTGGCTAATTTTGCAGTATCCGCAGCGCTGCTAGAGCGTTGAACGTACCTTATTAGCGGGTCTCTAATCGCCTTCGCAATATCACGTTTTAACTAGACATACGCGCTAATTGCTAGAAACTTACTATACTAGAGGAGCAGACAATTATCTAGTATATACTTAACCTTGATTCGCGAGGATTTGCGCCCTAGCTATATGAGGTGGCAGATATAGCTGATAAGATACTTAGTGTGCGTGGTGAAGAGCCTGTTGGCAAACTATAGGCTAGCAGGCTTGTGACGCGTTTAGACAAGCTTAAAATGGCCTTCAATCAAGCTAAGGATAGACAGAGGTAGGCTGGCGGATGGGTAGGGTAGGGTAGGGTATAGGTATAGTCACGTGATTTATGGGTAGGAACTAGGCAGGGTACATGAGGTACCCTACCCAAACGGTTTGGGTAGGGTAGCACGTGACTGGGTATAGGTATAGGTAGGGTAGCACGTGACTAGGTATAGGTATAGGTAGGGTAGCTAGGTAGGGTCTAGGAATGGGTAGTTATTAGCAAAATCTAGGTTACTACTCTAGACTTTGTACTATTGTATACTTTAGAGCATAAGTATGTGATA